TAGATGCCTCCTTCGTAATCTCAACGTTTGATTGTCAAGGTGGTTAACCTTTTATCGGACATCGGTCCAGGCAGCTCGATGGGAACTTTTGAAAGATTATTTCTTTATCATAATGGAAAAGAGTGTGCTCGGGATGATGATGTATCTTTTATCCGCGATTTTAAAAGCGAAGGAAACGCCAAATAAATTCAACATTTCTTCGATGAAAACGTTTCGGAGACCAGATGCATCATTAGTTAAAAAAATTCGTAGAATACATGAACAACTATTATTATGTTTTCATAATTCAAAATTTTGTTCATTTCCTGACCATTTCCAAATGATGCTCGAAGCCAAATGACATTTTCCTCTCCATGATTTGATATTCAACAGGATATTCCTGAAATTTTCTAATCTCAAATTACTTCTAATCTAAAAATTTAGCGCTATGTAACAAGATAGGAGTAAGAATGTTTCTTGTTCTGAACGTATCTATTGCAAATTCTGTGTCTTATCGCTAATGCAGTAATTAGAGGGCGATTTTAAAGCAATACAGGGTTATTCTAAACGATGGATTCAATTTAATAAATTCGTATTTATTTCAGCATAAATTCAAAATGAATAATTTATGCACCGATGGAAAGAGGAAGATTAAATTTTTTTATATTTGTAAATGTTTAATTTACCCTCCACCCATTGTGCTGCCGAAGCCCTTTGTACAGTGTAATTCACGGAAACTCATTGTCCGTATTTCGCTCCAAGCAGCCAGATTTTGTACGAAAAGAGAGGAGATTATTTTATATGAAAGGTAATGTCATGAAGTTTTCTGTCAGGCTTAGTCAGTTGCCACAATGTATTGGACAAGTGAGCAGCGTGCGTTTGCTGTCGAGGCGTGCTTTTTTTAACGGCCGTTTTGCAGAGTTGTTTTCGTCTGAGACAATATTTTACAGAGCGCCTCATCTTCAAGAGAGGTGAACGTCATTGGCCAGCCCGATCCTCCGATTTGGCTGTAATTTTTTTTTTCTGTGGTTATCTCGAGTCAATTGTTTACAATGACTGTCCAAGGACTCTACCTCATTTGAAGAACAACAAACGCCAAACCATCGCCAACATACCAGTCAATATGCTTCAGCAAGTTTAACGGAACTTCAAAAATCGACTAACTGAATGCATTGACTATGGTGGTCTTCATTTGTCCAATGTCATCTATAAAACTATGTGATACAAAAATTCAGGTCAGTTAATATTTTTTTCAATAAAATTTATGTTGAAATGATAGCATAACTAGTTTTTTTTATTATACTTTCAAAGTTCCGAGAATCGCCCTATTTATCCGAAACTTTTTGAATTCGTAACTGAGCGTTGGGTAGGACGCATAGGAAATGAAGATCTGGCTTTACACTTCTGGCCACCGAGATCACCTGATCTCACCCCATGTGACTATTTCTTACGGAGTTACGTCAAGGAAGCTGTTTACGTCCCGCCTCTACCAGCAACTCTGTTTACGTCCCGCCTCTACCAGCAACTCTGTTTACGTCCCGCCTCTACCAGCAACTCTGGTTGATCTGATTAAGAACCGTATCACTGCTACGGTGCACTCAGTAACAGAAGATATGCTTTCTCGTGTGTGGGACGAGTTTGACTGCCGTTTAGATGTTTGCCGTGCAGCACACGGAGACATATGGAACATTAATAAATGTGTAAAAAATTTGAGCTTTTTTCCATTGTCTATAAATTATTCATTTTGAATTCAAACTTGAATAAATACGATTTTATTAAATTTGGTCCATTTAGAACAGTGGTTCCCAAAGGGGGCGATATCGCATCCTGGGGGCGGTGGACAGATCTGTAGGAACCTCTGGAAAGATTTGTGTTTAACCTTTCTCTTTCAAAATTACAGCATACTAAATATCAAGAAAAGGCGTTTGTTTTTATATGTGTCTGTCAGCAGAGGGGCGCTAGAGATTCACTGGGGAGCCAAGGGGGGCGCCAGCCTGAAAAAGTTTGGGAACCACTGATTTAGAACATCCCTGTATGTTCATTAGGGAGCAGTAATATAGTAATTGGGAGGCGATTGTATAGTAATATTGTAATTGGGGGAGCGACAGTATAGTAATATAGTAATTGGGAGGCGATTGTATAGTAATATTGTAATTGGGGGAGCGACAGTATAGTAATATAGCAATTGGGGGAGCGATAGTATAGTAATATTGTAATTGGGGGAGCGACAGTATAGTAATATAGTAATTGGGGGAGCGATAGTATAGTAATATAGCAATTGGGGGAGCGATAGTATAGTAATATAGTAATTGGGGGAGCGATAGTATAGTAATATAGTAATTGGGGGAGCGATAGTATAGTAATATAGTAATTAGGAAGCGATCGTATAATAAAATATTAATTATAGGGAACGATTATACACTGATATATATAGTTACAAAAGCACATGTACATGCTATACATTTACGTTCATGTGTACGCTTTAGAAGCACATATCTCCGCAAATGTCGAATGACAGCAAATCTATCCACTTAGAAAAATGAATGGATCATACCATCCAAATAGTGAAATATTTTCTAATCGTAGTATTGGCACGCCATTTTTCTCATTCATTTCACAGAGTGATAGTAACAGTAGTAATCAGAGTGATAGTAACGGGAAGTAATAGATGTTAAAACTAAGAGACGAAGCATTAAAAAATTTATTATTAAGAACACACACCTACTTGTTTTGTGACACAATGAATTTAATAGTCATGAATGCGTAACTATTTGACTCATTAGATAAATTATTAAAATTTCTATAGTGTGTGTATCGTTCATTTTTCGTCGTTTTGCTCATTGCTGAAACCAACAATAGAATCCAGCGAGAAATTCGTTCCGATGGAAAACATATCCGAATTTTATGAACGTAATAGGAATGAATATATTTTTTGTCCTTGCTGTAATACTATCTCAACAATTCCGAACGATGCTACGGGAGGAAGGCCCTGATATTGTACACCATCACAGGTAATTCAACTCTCACAGAACAGATATACAAACTTTAATGCAGTGGAAAAACATGAACGCTTCATGCCGCGGTTAAAATGTCAACAATAAAGTGCGGCAATATTTTCTACGTTGAAAATTACTTCAGTAGCGTAATCAGAGATCGAAATTTTTTTGGATTAAAGTAAAAATTCAAAGCCCTCTTTTTCGTAGGAACGATCGAGTTTCTATTGTTGACTATGATACGATAACGATCGGAAAATATCACGATAAAGCTGTACTAGCGATCGTTAAATGGCGACGTCCGCTCATAACTGTCACTAAACAAACATTTGCCTCTCAAAATAACCTTTACCGCATTAGGACAGGTTTTCGACACGCAAAGAAGTACGATAATAGAACTTTATCACTTGCAGACGAGAGAGCAGCACACCCTGTCACGACGGCGGTCGCAGTGGCACTGACAGCTGATGCGCCCTGGCACTCCAGCAGTGCCAGCCAGCAACTGCCGTGCCCCGCAGCTCAGGATTACAATAAAGGATATTTCGATGTTTTAATTTCTAATTATTTAATTTCGCTAATATCACTGTGGATATTGAGAACGTATTTGTTATAAGCGGTGATGCTTAACTCTTATGTGCATTAAGACACTCTTATGTGTCTTATGTGGAGCATTGATGCCCCGCCTCTTGCGGGGCCGTCATGTATGAGAGACAATGCAAGCTTAAACGAAAAAAATTAATAATTTCATACAAAATGGTATACGAAAATGAATCAATTTCATTATTTGTTCATCATAGAATCTGATACAAATGAAACAGCTGATAGTCATTTGAAAATATCAGACAGGGACTGATGATGCGAAATTAAAGTTAACGCTAAAATAAAAATAATAATTTCATACAAAAAGGTATACGAAAATAAATTAATTTCATTCTTTTTTCATCATAGAATCTGATACAAATAAAACCGCTGATAGTCATTTGAAAATATCAGACTGGAACTGAAGATGTTACAAAATTAAAGTTAACGCTATAATAAATGATAAAAATAATCACTTATGCAAAGATTTTTAATGTAAACTTCTGAAGTAAATCATACGTGAGACGGCGAGAGGAATTGTTCGATTTAATTTTCGCCATTTAAGTAATTTAAAATGCGCATTTAATCAATGCTTTTTCTAGTTATGTGATTTAATAAGTAACTGCAGTGTACACTGTACATAACTGCAGTGTACACTGTACATAACTGCAGTGTACACTGTACATAACTGCAGTGTACACTGTACATAACTGCAGTGTATACTGTAAATAACTGCAGTGTACACTGTACATACATAATACAAGATATCAAAGGGGCAATGCTAAGAAGAATAATAAATACCTCTACTTTCTCTGTAATACAAAATCATAAAAAAAAACAAGTGAACTTTAAAATTAGATATTCACATAAATCCTTCATAGCAAATGCCTATTAGATATAAAATTTTAATTTGCATAAATAACCAGCACATCAAAATGAAATCGACTACAAATAATCGTATTAATTGAAAATTAAACGAGCTTGAGAAAAGTATGGATAAAGTATATGGAGTAGATACCTATTCATATCATATAGTAAATTTCGTGTCTCGAGACAATAGATATAATGAATTAACTACTATTCTAAAAATGATATACATGTTATAATAATATTCTGAATACTGTGTATATTTTCTACCATTGATTGAAAAAACTGGAGTTACTCTATATTCTAACAGAATCACGATAATGATTGTCATTCGTGTAAACAAGCATGTATACTTTGCATGCTAATTTGTGTGCGTTAACGATGAAACGTAAGCATCATGTTGACATCTCTACACAATACCGCTTTGTTTACGTTATGTTTGTCTTTTTGCATATCAAATAATAAAAACACATTCCTTTTGGCTTGAATTCCCGATCAGCAAATTTCTGCATTTAACCTAGAACCATCACAAATTTTGTTAAACATTTCACCAATAACTTCTTTTAAATGAAGTTTTCGCTGATACCGACAGATTGCCAGAGCATCGAAGTCATACGAGTTTGAAGATTTAACAAATGACAACAAAAGCGGGAAGAAAAAACTATTTCTTCTTCGTCAAATCAGAACATTGCTTGAATTTCAACTGTTGTTCCAATAGCATATAAATAAGTTTTCGAAATTATATCAACAATTATATGCTGTGGAACTAAGCTCCTCCGTTACTAAAACTAATAGCCTTTATAAGAAAACGCACACTACGCTAATTGAAGCAAGAATAAGTTACTTATTTCCTGTATCATCTCTTCTTTGAATCTGGAACGAAATCTACCACCAGAGCGACGAAATCTGTCACCAGAGCGACGAAATCTGTCACCAGAGCGACGAAATCTACCACCAGAGCGACGAAATCTACCACCAGAACGGACGAAATCTACTACCATAATGACAAAATCTACCACCAGAGTGACAAAATCTACCACCAGAGCGACGAAATCTATCACCAGAAAAAACAAAATCTACCACCATAATGACGAAATCTACCAGCAGAGCAACAGGGTTCCAGCTATAGGCAGCAGCAGCAGCAGAGCAGGCAAGGGCGGCACGGGCGCAGAGTTGCACAGATCTCCTTCACAGAAGCACGCGAACACCTACACCGTGGGGGAGATGGGGAGTGCATCAATAAAATATCCCTTAACTATTAGTAACATCCGTTTCAATGAAAGAGTTAAAGATTCATGTGCAATAAAAATGTTCAAGTTGATTTGCGAAAGGAAACGGCATTATTGCGGGGCTCTTCGTTATGACGTCGTTAGTCATGGGTGCATCATTAAAATGTCCCTTAATTATTAATAAACATCCGTTTAAATGAAAGAGTTCACGAGTCATGTGCAATGAAAATTTTTAAGTTGATTTTCAGCAGAAAAGGGCATTAAATTTGGGATTTTCGTTTGTTTGAATCACGTCTCCAAACTTACAGCATAGACCTTAGAATGACATCAATGGTGACTGCCTCAGTCGTGTGGGTTATAAATATATTGGTTTGCACTTTATGTGTTCATTATGTCGTAAATTCACCGATATTCACGTTGCGTTCATCGTTGTGTTGTAAATTCCTTGATATTCACTTTATGTGTTCATCGTTGTGTCGGTATTAACTGACTCATACATATTCATGTTGAAAATTCGTGACCATATTCATGTTGACAATTCATTTTTTCCCAACTCCACCACACTCAAAACAATTAATGTCCCATATATTTTTGGGTCAGGATATGTTCCCTACAAGCACAATAAGTGCATCATCATTGGGACAAAGTCTCACTCATTTCTACAAGTGCAGCGAGCCGCCGTAGTCACGACTTAGTCATTGAGAAACATTTCCAGGTGGTAAGTCTACAACAAAGTTACCAATAATATTTACTATTATTATTGGTAACTTATATTATTAATAATTAATAACAATAATATTGCAGGTTATACAGCTCTCAGTTTACATCATTCGTGCACTTCTGACTGCTGAGCCCATTTGTATGTTAATTGTTCACAATTGTGCATTAATTGTTGCCATTGTGCACTGAATGACAGTACCTGATCCTTAGGGTAAATGACGTTGAAACGACGTTGATTTCATCTAAACAACGTTTAATCAACGTTATAACGACGTGAAATGCTTTGAGGGTACTCATCTAGTCACCGATCAAAATATAAATAAATCAAAGACGTTAATGATGGAAGAATAGTTAATTCAAGGGAAAATTTTAAAATGCAGAAAATTTTCCTTGCATCAAAAATGAAAATTATTGTGATTGAAGATGATTGTGATGATTTTTCATCCCTGAATGAGAATGGTCTTAAATTGACTTCACTCAGGCCATTAATTCTTAGAGTTTATAGCATTTATGCTTTTTGCGACCGCATGTTCACAATTTCATCATTTACAGTTAGTATATAACTACTGTAATTAACTAATAGGTACATAATTCAAAAAGGCCACCAACTTAAGTATAAAAAATTTAATTTCGTGAGTATATCAAAGAGCCAAGTAAGTTCAATTCATCGAAAACATTTTAGAGACAAGCGTTTACAATGAAGATATGGTGAATTAAATCAACATTATCTTTGCTTTTAAGTTATTAGTGAACATGCCATTTATTATTACATGAACGAGCATAATATATTCAGTATAAGTACATGAATAAAATAAAAACATAACTCAGTACTCACTGCAGTGAGTGACAGAGAGCGCATTTTCTCGTCGACGAAAACGTGAAGTCACGGACAGACGGACGGACAGACAGACAGACGGACGGATGGACGGACAGAACGAGCACAATAGTGCATTTTTTCCATAAATGAGAAAATGCGCTAAAAATATGCGTACAAAATTCAATCAGGGCTGACCTTGCGCTTGTTCCACTCGACCTCGGCGCAGCGCTGGGTGCTGTCGGGGGGGATACGCTGCAGACACGACCTCTCCGTGGCCAGGTCGTGATCTGCACGACAGCGGCATGTAGATAATATAGATAACAGTGCACGACAGCGGCATGTAGATAATATAGATAACAGTGCACCACCACGACATGTAGATAATATAGATTGTTATAATGAACACGGCGCAGACAGCACCACGACATCCTCTATATTATCATAGATAAGATAGAGGAAAACACGGCGCCGAGAAGACCACGACATCATAGATAACACGGCGCCGAGAACACCACGACGTCATAGATAACACGGCGCCGAGAACACCACGACGTCACAGATAACACGGCGCCGAGAACACTAAGTCACAGATAACACGGCGCCGAGAACACCACGACGTCATAGATAACACGGCGCCGAGAACACCACGAAGTCACAGATAACACGGCGCCGAGAAGACCAAGAAGTCACAGATAACACGGCAATACCAGAGATAGTGATGGATCAACAAGATTAACGAAGACAAAAATCAATATGAGGCGCAACGTAAATAGGTAAGAGCAATGTACGATTTCGACAATGAAGAAATTGTGTAATTGAACAGTTTAATTTACGCAAAACCAAGGAACTCGTGCGGAAACGCATGCGAAAAAGGTTGCCCCAAAAATATCAGTAGCCGATCACCTCGTTATTCTGGCAGTATATAAATAATTCAAGAAACATTTATACAGATTTAATCTCAACAGTAAAGCTTACACTTACTACAATCTTACTTGAACAACACTGAACGCAAGTAATTATTGATATACCGTACAACTGTAAATCGCATTAGATTGATGATGCGAGGAAACTGTAATTACATGTAATAGTTTTATCCGATGACAATATATAATATATTCAATGATCATACTTTCGTATGCAACAATTCAATTCGATGTATAGTTTAAGGAATAATCATATACCATCGGTGCTGACAAGTATATACAATATAGATGAATGGTTTACTTTAAGCAATAGTCATACCATCGCAGATGACACGTATATAAACAATGTAGATGCGTGGTTTAAGCAATAGTAGTCATACCATCGTAGATGACAAGTATATACACAATGTAGATGCATGGTTTAAGGCTTTAAGCAATAGTCATACATCGCAGATGACAAGTATATAAACTATATAGATACATGGTTTAAGCCATACCTTCGCCATATTTGTCGCCCTCGATGATCTTGCTGCACCAGCCCGAGGCGCAGGGCACAGCCTCGACGTCTTTAACGAGGTACGTTGCGTTGTACGGGAACGTATCGCGGCAGTCGCCGAGCTTGCCGCGCGACCGGCATGAGAAGCAGCGGCGCGCGCCTGCAATGATGGGGGCGAAAATTAGAGACCAGGGAATGGTGCGGAGACGGAAAAGAGACAGCGAGGAAACTGGAAGAGTGACGGAACATAAATGGCGAGGAAACTGGAGGAGTGACGGAACATAAATGGCGAGGAAACTGGAAGAGTGACGGAACATAAACGGTGAGGAAAGTGGAGGAGAGACGGAAGAGAAACGGTGAGGAAACTGGCGGAGAGACGGAAGAGAAACGGTGAGGAAACTGGCGGAGAGACGGAAGGGAAACGGTGAGGAAACTGGCGGAGAGACGGAACATAAACGGTGAGGAAACTGGCGGAGAGATGGAAGGGAAAGAAAAATGAAACTGGTGAAGGGACGGAATGGAAAGGAAAAGGAAACTGGTGAAAAGGCGTAAGAGAAAGGAAAAAGGAAACTGGTGGAGAGGCGGAAGTGAAAGGAAAAGGAAACTTGTTGAGAGACGGAAGAGAAAGGAAACTGGTGGAGAGGCGGAAGGGAAAGGAAAAGGAAACTGGTAGAGAGGCGGAAAGGGAAAGGAAACTGGTGGATAGACGGAAGGAAAAGGAATTTGGTGGAGAAAAGAAAGGGAAAGGAAAGGGGAACTGGTGGACAGACGGAAGAGAAAGAAAGTGGAAACTGGTGGAGAGAATGAAATGAAATGAAAGGAAAACTGGTGGAGAGACGGAAGCAAAAGGAAAAGGAAACTGGCGGAGAAACAGGAGATAAAGGAAAAGGAAACTGGCATTGAGACGGAAGATTAATGAAACTGGCTTAGAGACAGAAAGTAAAATGACCAGAAAGTGAAATGGGTTCAAACGCTTTCGTATTTGGACGATGAACTGGGGAACCGCATTCTTCGACCATTCATATGTTTAAGTTTTAATAGATAAACTGATCGAATGAGAGAAGTGGATATGCTTGGGAATTTATGTAGTAAACGTAAGCAAATATTTTGGAAAGCTTGGTAAAAACTTACTAATTGTTAAAAATAAATAATAAATATTTGTGGCAGTATAAAGATATATTTACTTTTATTATATATTATAAATAAATAGTTAATATTCGCGGCAGTAAAAATTTAACGCCGGAATAATGATTCAATTTTTCTCTTATATACCTATAATGGTGTAAATATTTTCAAGTGAACAACACTACTCTAGCGTAAAGTGGTGCTTTACGTGCATCGAATTCTGCCTAGTATTTTACACTGAACTTTGTTATCCGTACACGTTACACTGACTGAGTGGAAAGTCAATTGAAAGTTGTGCTAAATTTTTAATAAAAAATCCGTACAAAATAATATATATCTTTGAATGCGCCATGATGCCTTCATATAGGGATATTACGTCAGTATAAATTATAACAATCAGGCATAATAAATAATACGAGCCAAAAAACTGCATTGCAAAAACTATTTTTAATGAAATAAAATCGTTATTAAACAAATCGTAAAAGAGTTATGATCTTCATGATCGCGAACTTCATGTGTTGAAGTACGATCGTAACGATCGTGAAAAAAGAAGGGAAAGGAATACTAAATAACTAGAGGCAATTATTAACCAATGGAGTTCCATCTCAGAACATTTTCAAAAGTAAAACAGAAATGACAAGTAGAAATGTCATGTATAAGATAGTGCATGACATCATATACGTTTACATCATTGCCGCATGACGCTAAGATCACTTGCACGGCACACTCCTGCGTAGCAGTCTCCGCAAGACAGCTCAGCTAAGCTAAATGTCAAAGAGAAATTTTCATTAAACAAACCTTCACTCATTTTCAAAGCAGTGGCTAAAATAAGTAACACAAGAGCACATTTCAATGCGAATCTGATGATCATTTTTTCCTGTGAATAATATTAACGCTGTGAAATGAACAAGATTGGTTCTGCACAGTGGTCTACGAACATCCACCCTTCACCGCTGCTTCCAAGGGTCTGACTCGTAGGTCGTCGTACACCAGCCATCCAGGCACAGGTGCGGTTGAACACTCTCACTCCTACAAGTTTCGCGGTTATCCTGCCGTTATAAATACACGATCAGTTAGTTAAGATCGATTTATTTCTCTTCCTCGCTTCTTTTTGGTTCCCTGCCCCACGGTTCATCTTATCTGTCAGCTGAAATGTTTTTCCCCACAATTCGATGCAATTACTGGTAGTATTATGACTTTTCAATTTTTCATTGATGACAATTTGATTCGAACTTGTTACAAATTTGCGTCTGGTTTTCTTATGCAATTTCATAAGTGTCAATGTATTTTATTTGCTTTTTTGGCAGTCGAAAAAAATGCGTTGCCTCTGATCGTTCTTTTTAGCTCCTATGAAAACAAACACAAACAAATTACGTGAAACTTTCAAGGAGACAGAAGTGCAATTTCTCTGGCGAGTCCAAACAACCACTACCTCATGAGCGTCTTGTTCACAAGACTACGCTGTATACTTTCTAGCGAGCGAAGTATTTTTTCTTGAGTTTACGTTACATTTTAATAAAATGAAATTTAGCGCCAACTGTTTTCAAGATCGGTTGCTTCGTGTGTCTTATTTCTGACGAGATTTAGAAAATTGGGGTTCTAGCAAGGCAAAATCTGTTTCTCGATTTCCTCGTGTCTATTTTCCAGCGACATATATTTGCTTTGGATTTGAACTTCCGTGGACGCGCTAGAGTTTCGTTAAGAAAAATCGCCACGCTTATTTATCTCAGAATACAAACGCGTACTCCGTCCAGAACACTGATGAGGCCAGAAGCGATGGACAACAAAGAAAATCAGGAACCATATGCAAATCTTCAGCTCCATTTTTCTTTACCAATATCGAGATTAGTGTTAATATTAGTAATTTCTTGCAATGAAACGTACCCCTTTTTCTGTGCGCGGTATCAAGTATACAGAAGACTTCATATGAAATAATCTATTAGCAGAACACATCGACATCTGTCACATCTGTCTGCTACAAATCTTATAATCGATATTTAACACACTTCTACCTCTTCAGTCGATCTGAAATTTTGCACACTTTCGTAAAGTCGGAGACAATGCATGTATCAATTGACAGAATAAATAATTTTTAAAAATTTTAATTATAAAATAAAATTGAAAAAGTAATTTTTTAATATTTAATTCTAATAATATTCATTCTAAATTCATTGTACATGTGTAACATCGGAGACACTTGATTCTTTAGAAGTGTTGTCTTTAAAAGTAATTTTTATATGCATATTATTATTCTGAATTTTATCCGAACTTCCTACCTAAACTTTCAATCAAATTGAAATTTTATTAATATATCTTAGTGTTATGGAGGGTTTTTAGTATGCTATCAATTTTCGATAGTAGTTTACCACATTTTCAATTGAGGATTCTGAGCGAAAATTAAATTGATAACAAATTCCAGAAAATATTTAAAAAAGACAACTTACTAATTAATAATTAATTGAACCCAAGAAAATTCAAGGTCAAAATTTCAATGTAATTGAAAAATTTGTGTCAATGCGGATCAAATGAAATATGAAGAATGTCAGTTGGAGAAAGTCAGCTGCGTTCATCGAAATCCTGAAATAACAGCCACCTCCTACAAGCAGGAAAATTTGACTGTGGCTGCAATTGGAAAATTTGGAAAGCCAGCAATTAATGCCATGTCCAGGTGTGACAGTCGGCCTGCGTGAGGTCATCTCTTCACCTTCAACAAAGCACACACACACACACATCGAGTAAACAGCATAAGTGTCTACCGCCCTTGATTTCGTAAATTTCACCGACATCCGACAAATAATACTCTATTAATCACATATTACTTTATCTTTGACCATACTTCTATATATATACCACATTACCACGAGAATATTTAGCGAAGGTCCGTGACCGTCCGTCCAGACTCCAGCGTCAAGAACACGGCTGGGTAGGCATGTCACTGATGTCAGGCTGTCGCCGATTCTTAACTTTGCAACATCCACAGCATGTTGCGGGCTTGAACTCGCAACTCGCTGCTTCTAAATTTCTTTGCTTAACCGCCCGGCCTCCATGCCAAGTTGCCAATTTCAACCAGAAACTGGCGCACAGAGTTGGGATCGAACCCGCACTTCTGACCTGACCTCTCTAGTCTCTACGCCAATCTATTATCTACGGTAGGTACTGCCTAGCTAGTAGCTAGTGCCTACTAGGTACAGGCGTACAGCGACAGCGTACAGTCTTACTCGCTTACAGTTTACAGTTTACACTACACTACATTGACTACACACAGTGGTACTCTGAACTTGAACCACTGGCCTCAGCCTGGGCCACCCTGCCGACCATGGTCAGGAAGATGTGCCAGGTGCGCGGGAATTTTTATTATCATTGCATCAATTTGCGCCGTGCGCCGTAATATGCCGGTAAAAAAGTGCACCGTGCGCCAGCCTGCGCCGTGCTACTAAAGTTGTTTAAAGATGAATGCGCGGCAAGGCTATCACACACGAACAAATATCTGCATCACGTTGACTAGATTTCTAACGTGTTAACTCAGGTTCTAAGAGTCGGCAATGTTCTCAATAATTATTCATAGATCACAATTCGGTTGGAAATTAATTACAAAACTGAATAGTAGAAGGCGACAATCCACNGACTCCATCAAGAAGCATGACGAGCGAGCGCATGGTACGATGAGACCTCTTTCATGCAATTTGTGTAGCAAAACTTTCATGTATTACTCTCACAAGAAGGCGCACATGTTACGTCATTATAACCTCAAACCTTTCAATTGTGAGCTATGCACGCGGTCGTTTATGTTCTGTCTCTTATACACATCTAGATGTGTATAAGAGACAGCTCTGGTACACTGCGAATTTAAACACAATTTTGCGTAGAAAATTGTCACGAGCTAAACATCACACCGTTGGGAGGTTAGGTTTCTACATGCAAAGTTTCATTAAAATCTGTTCAGTATTTTAGAAGAAATGGCTGGTACACAGGTCTCGGACAAATTTACAGCCGGACTGGCAGCCGGTCTCGCGGCCAAAATGTTTTCTTAGTGTTTTTATGAGTTTTTCTAGGTTTTATGTGTTTTTAATGGAACCTGTTCCTAACTGGACCTAACCTGCAAGGTTTTCGTTGATTGGCTAGGTTTTTTCTATGTTTTTAGTCCGGCGGCCGCAAGACAAGCCGTAAATTTGTCCGAGACGTAGTGGTACACTGCAAATTTCGGTACGTTTCGTCATATAACTCATAAATGAAGGCGATATTAAAAATAATTGTCACGAGCTTGACATCACCGTTAGGCCATAATGAATATGTGTACCAAGTTTCATTGAACTACGTTCAGTACTATTGGAGAAATTTCAGGCAGAGTCCAGCCGCGAAACCGGCCGCAAGTACAGCCGTAAATTTGTCCAAGACGTTATCACATGACGATGAAGCAGCATTGCATAAAAGTATGTAAAGACGATGTTGGGAATTTCTGATGACAGTTACGTATGTCAGGACATATTTAATTTACAAAAGATTTCGCACTCAAAACTATTTTCCCATTAATTACAATGATGAAATTATTTCTGACTCCTTTCATTAACCGTAGAATCTCTAATAACCCTATCAGCGCAATAATAGTATATATAGAACGAGTAAAATCTGTCATTTACCACTAATATTTGTTTACTTCATATGTCCAATTTCTGAGGACTTGGTTATTCACCACTTGCCTCACGTCCGGACTGAATATTGCCTCACGTCCGAACCGGACGGTCTACGGAAGGTAAACAAACACAAACGATGTTCACCAGTTCGTATAAGAAATTTGTAGAAAATTTCTTCGAAAATAAATTTCTAGATTTTTGCTTTCACAAAATTTCCATATCAAGGAAAATCATAGATTATTAATGGATAAATAAATGCATATTAATTATCAAGTATTATATATTTTCTGTCTCTTGTCCCTTGACAAAATGTATGTATGTATGTGCGCGCTACGCCGACGCTTGCGTGCGCTGCGCCGACGCTTGCACGTGCTGCGCCAACGCTTGCGCATGCAAGCAGGGATGGCCAGAAGTTGCACCAACTGTGCGCCGCAATAGCTTGAAAAAAGTCAAAATGCGCGGGAAAATTCCCTGAAAACATACATAATCCTGAGTGTGGCCTGCCGAGTGCCTACTGCCTAGCCATGGTCAGGAAGATGTGCCAGGTGCGCGGGAATTTATATTGTCATTTTAACGACCTGCGCAGTGCACCGTACTATGCCGGTAAAAAAAATGCGCCGTGTGCCGACAGCGCCGTACAGCCCGTACTTTTAGAAAGCTAAAATAGTTTAAATATGGACGCGCGGCAATGCAAATTACGTGATCACACTGACCGTACACACAAACGTGTATCCGCACTGTGTTGTGGTTGGATACGAGTTAACTAGATTGCTACCGCGTGTCCGCGTCAACTCAGTACTCAGGTTCTAAGAGTCAGCACAGTAATGAATATTCATTCATAGATCACAATTCAATCGGACATGAATTACAGAACTAAAGAAGGCAACATGGCTTTAGATGTGCCATCGGTGCCTTCTAATGAATGACTGGACTGGTTGCGGCAAGTAGGTTATGAACCTGTATGTCAACAGTACGATCCTGCATGCCAATGTTGTGACTACATTTACATTACCGACATCCTCCCGGCAGGCAAAATCAACACGATCAATACCTAATAACAATGCGCGTAAATGGACTATACAAATTAGGTCAATATGGCATAATTACAGAGCGTAATTATGCTATATGATACATAATATGAATATATATATTTGCAAGATAAGTCAATGGTCTGTCGTTTATTTTTGCTTCATTTGAGCAATAATGGTTTCCAAATCTGGGTGCGTTATGTTATGTCATGTGTACTTTGAATGTGCAAAAATTATAACTATCATATGAAAATTGTTACGTAGGTTATCATAGCATGAATCACAAAAGAGTATCAAGATTGCAGCTCTGCCACCAGCCTTCATTGAATTATCCCGCCTTTTTTAATTATCGTCGCCGGCCATTTTTATAATCTCTCTTCCAGCAAAGTTGCGAAATTCATTAGCTGCATAAAATACTCTCTGCTGTGGTGTTCGAGTTCCGGTTGACATGAAAACTTGCGGTTCCATAAATGGCGGGAAAGCTCTAATCGCGCCACTCTGAAGGCAATTTATATAAATAATAATATAATCCACGCCTACGCTGGAGGAAGTTCAAACTTCAGAGGTGGAACTAAATGCAGTACCGTAAAATGGGGTAACTTAGACCACTTTTTTTCTTATAAATGATGCCATTTTTTTTTTTCATGGGTCAGATTTTTAATTTTTTAACCTATTAGATATGCAAACTTTTTAAATCTTTCTATTGTGTTATGTAGCCTCAGTATTAGGCCTTTAATGCCCATTGACGAAATTTTTTTATGTCGAATAGTTTTTGAGTTGTGGGGGTTTTTGTAAAAAAAACGAAAAGTGGTCTAAGTTACCCCGCCGGTCTAAGTTACCCCATTTTACGGTAAATTTGCAGTAAGTCAGAATATACCAGAAAAATACCAGATTTAGGCATATATACTAGATCTAAAATATTCATACCTGACACCTTTTGAAAATACCAGATTTGTGAAATCTGGTATAGAAATATACCATCTGGCAATGCTGGTTCAGCGTTACTTGAAATCGTCTACAGACAATGTTGCCATTCCATTCAGATGAAAACTGTGTCTAAATCAGAACTGTGTCGGACGGCTCCGCGGCCCGCGCCGAGTGCTGCGCGGCGCTGAATCGATGACCGTGATTTGCATGAACGTCTGCGCGAAAAAAATATAATTAGATTGATTTACGCGAGAAATTTCCCCGTTTATATACATCTTCCTGAGTGTGGCTGCCTAGTAGGCTAGTACCCAGTTACCCACGGCCACAGGCCACTTGAGTGAGTGCCGCATGGCGCCATTCTATAGTATAAATAAAAGAACATGAGCTTTTGGAGAATTAGGGCTACCCTGCCAGCCTGCCTTTGAGAAAACTCAGAAAAGTAGGGCCACCCTGCCCACTGGCCACTGCCCAGTGGCCACTGGCCAGTGCCTAGTGGCTAGTATGACTACAGCCCATAGTATATGGGCTAAATGGGGTGACTTCTGCCAGCCAATAAATGTTCAGAATAATAGATTTTTCTTTTTAATAGATTTTTCTTTTTCAGATAATATGCGCAACTATAAATGTAAATTAGGTTCTGTTCCATATAGGATATATTATGAGGAGTTGTTTAAGAAAGCATTGCAATTGATAAAAGATGGTGTTAGCTTAAGAGAAGCTGCTAATATTTGCAAAGTCCCTCATTCAACTTAGAGCAACCAATGTGCTGGCCTGGCCATCATGTGAAAAATTTAGGACAGTCTAGTGAGTCTACTCTTTCACCTAGGGCTACAGAGGAGTCAGATTTAGTTTTAGTATCCTACATTTTTCTGCTTTCTGACTGGGGGCCCGGGGCTTCCCATTAGATGGTATGGATCTGTGTTTTTTGGTTAAAAATTACCTTAATGAACTGGGTCGCGATTTACGTAAGTTCAAGGGTCGCACCAGTGCACCACTATCAAGCATCCACTATGCAGAGGGTGGATGCAGCGTCGGCAATATATGGATTTTTAAGCCCAAAGCGTCGCCGGCCATTTTAAAGATGCGTCGCCGGGTAATTTTTAATGAAAAGCCATTTACGCTGAGTAATGACGAACTATTTACAAGCCACAAACTTATTACAAGGTTGCATGCACGTGTTACCCCATATCCATCCAACGTACCGGAAACCTTACTTTTTTTCTAAATAGTTGGCTGAAGACTGAGAAATATATTAAATGCAAGAATTTCAATCTAAATGTGGCGGCAAGATCTTCTGAAGGCGAAAATTTTGCCGATAATGCGTCGCCGTAGGTCTTTAAATCTTCGTTCACTCTCTGCACAGTGGTCAAGCATCATCGGTTTTTTGAAGAATGCTCGAGATCCCATGGGGACTAGATTTTTTCAAACTTTCACATCCAGCTGCCATTGAAATAGACAGAAAGCAGCCTTAATGAAGCATATGATTCACAAATGTGAGTTTTATTTTTGTGTTGCAATTTTTATAATTCACAGTGGCATTGATTATCATTTTTTAAAACAACATCAAAACTAGTGTTTTCTTCAATTTTTGCAAGAGAATTTTTGGAAAGGCCATATAAATAGCTAAAAATTATCCAAAAGTGCAAGTGGGCATATTTTCATTCATTGGTGGGTTGTCTTAACTCTTAATTTCAATTTGTGCTATGTACAGTACTACTGACATGAAAACTTAGAATATTTCCACCTTTAAAGCTGCAACTTCAAAATTTTGCACCAGTTATGCCTCTGGAATCACAAGATTCCTGCCAATGAACTGATTTACTTCCAATCAGATTGCTAATGAAAGTGTATGATTAATAGATTAAGCAGTGAAATTCTAAATGTATATTGATAATTTGTCTCTTGCAGGCTGGCAGCTGCAAGATTTCTAAAATAAATAGGAAAATTCTAATCCTGTTAAACCTATATCATTATTAATGTAGTAAAAAATAAATTCATTTTATGCTGATTATAGTCTTGTTGCATTTTATGGTAAAATTAGTACATAGTACTGACACCACAGGTCCATATTTTCAGTAAAAATTATTATATTTTTTTATTCATTATTTTATCAATATTGCCCAAAAAATTTTAAATGTGAAGCTTATGATGCTTATCAATAGGTTTCTCTTTGTAGACTATAAAATACAAAGCTTTTATTTCATCAATCACCTTAGGTATAAAAACATTCCTTTTTTTCGACAGCCTTTATGTGCATTTGTGTTAACTTTTGTTATTTATGAATAAGGTTGATTTCTTTTCAGTTTTTGTCTAGATTTTTCTCTCAATTGCTCATATGATATCTAGTTTTTTATAGATAGTGAAATCATGTTCTGCATTTACTGTTAGAAACTAAAACAGGTAAGAAAGACCAAATACTAATTCTGTAACAGATTGGTCACAAAAATATGTCCACAATGTCAGCTACTCGTGTAGGTGGTGTTGTCAGCAGGTGCATCACAGTAGGACCCTGGTCAACTGATTGGTTGTCTATCACTCCGCCTTCAGCATCTAATACCATCACACTCATTGTGCCTGGTAAGTGCCCCTTTTTATTCTAATCCTAACTGCATACCTTCATGATATAAGTGAGAATCTAGCTATCTTATTTCCATCTGCTATAACTCACACCTAATACTCCTATGATAAAAGTGAGAACCTTTGGTACCTATAAATTTGGGCCATGCAAAATTGATTTGAATTCTACTGCTAAATGGGAGCGTAACTTGTGAGCTTGCCATCATGAATATTATCATACTCTGAAATCCTCTGCTGATGTGCATTAGGCAAAATGCATACCATCCTATAAGCCATCATAGGCAATTTTTTTATTTTTCTACACCCTGCATTTTGTAGCCTCTGCAATGAATTTGGGCTAATTTACTCTATCATTTATATAAAACAGTTTGAAAATTTACAGGTAACCCTGGAGTTGTGAGCTACTATGAGCAGTTCATGATCGAGCTTTATGAGCATCTTAATAGAACATCTGCAGTGTGGGCTGTGTCTCACACCTGTCATTCAAAAACATGTAAGTGAATAGAAGAAAAATAGGATCTCAAGCTTTTTATTTGGCATATTATATTATTTGTCATAACATTCTATTGTGTTCTAACAGGAATGATAAACTGTAATAATGAAACCCTGTCTTGACTAAAAGCAGAGATTTTTTAAGTAATTCTCATTTATGATATAAAATATTGAATTATCAATTTGCAAGCTAGCTTCTCAAAAAAATGTAGAAAGCCATGAAATTTGGTACATGTACGTTGAACTAGTTATTTTCTCAAGTTCATGCATATATTCAACAAGCAATAATTTTGCTGAATACTTGATGTTCCATCACCTCTCTTTGCACACATTTGATTGCTAATAAAAAATTTTATTTGTGTTGCTACTGTATAATATACCTATATTATTAAATTCTTTAGTAGAACTCAGAGAAAGATTTGTAATTTATGTACAGTGCAAGATAATGTTACAACTGCTAATATTCTCAGCTATCCAACTGAAACCAATCCAGAACAAGTAACGATGTTCAATTATTCTACAGATCCCACACCAAACTCAACTGTGGACCGTGAAGTGGAACACAAGATCCAGTTCATCAGGTCTCATGTACCACATGGCAGCCAACTACGGCTGGTTGGCCACTCCATCGGCTGCCAGATGATTCTGCAAGTGCTTGACGAGCTTGACAATGTTGAAGCCATTGGGGTAGCAAATGATAGTTTCAAAATAGACCAATGTTACATGCTTTTCCCAACAATTGAGAGAATGAAAGATTCTCCCAGAGGCCGGACTCTTTGGCCGGTGCTTGCTTACTGCCGATGGCTACCTCCTTTTATTTGTAGCTGCGTGTCAATCATGCCAAATTTTGTTAAAGAGAAGCTTGCAAGCGTAATTCTGTATGATGGATCTGGAGTGCCGTTACTTGACTCAGTGGTAGAGAGTTTTATTACCAATGTTCGGCCAGACATGGTACGGAATATGCTGGACCTCGCCCATAATGAGCTTGAAACTGTGGTTGACTTGGATATCGACGCCGTGAGTCGACACAAAAGTAAACTGGTGTTCTACTATGGCAGCAACGACCATTGGAGTCCCGTCAAGTACAAAGAGGATCTTGTTGAGAAAGTCCCTGGAGTCGTTGCATTTGTCTGCCAGAAGAACATCAACCACGCGTTTGTTGTAAGGCAAGCCAGAGAAATGGCGTCTGAATTAGCGATAATAATCAAAGAGGTTGAAGAGCTTCAAGGCGTTCTTGATAGAGATGGATGAAGGCCAAGTTTTATTTTATCCCATATCTTATGTGATCTCGTCTAACATTTTGGCATTTGTAGGCTTGTATCATATCTGAAAGACTGATATTTCACGTTGGCCACATTCCTTTTGCAATTTGGTCTGTCTTTTTTGCGTCATTTTTACTCAAGGTGAAAAGATGTGAAACTGCAAAGTGCTGTCATAAACATGTCTTGTCTTGAGCTGCTTACCACCAATTGGGTCTAGTTCAGACACTGATACTTATTACTGTTTACTAAAATTTCATCTTGATGTGAACACGAACAACCATTTGCCAAACCGTAGTGAAGTCTCTTGCTAACAGAAATCATATTTTACTCAAATTTATCTTAACAATAACGTTTTTTCGTGTATTTATATTCATGGGTAGATGCAGAATCTTTTATAAAAAGTGCTGAAAAAACTGTAATTCAATCATTAAATTAAGTGTAGTTCAAACTATTAGCCCGTTATGTTATCATGTTCAGCGGCAAGAAGATGTGAAGTCGCTAAATATTTGACAATTTTTTTTTATTTCTGCCGCTAGTCGACTCGTATACGAGGAAGATTCGGTACACATGTTGTTTGACATATTGATGTTAATATCGATTGACAATTTGGGTTCGCATCCTGGTTGATGTGTTGATTGCAATTTCGTTTGATTTGTTACTTGGCATGATGGAAGACATGATGATTGACATGTTCATATTAACGCGATTGGAAAGTCAATTTTCGGGGCACGAGCCCCTGGTTCTTGCAGTTTGAAATTCTCAATTGTCGCTGGCACGACCAAAGCGCTACAATACTTCAGTTTGATATCTTTCTGGCCTTATCGCGATGCAAGACGGGCAAGTTATCATACCAAAATGACCGACTTCTGTTGAAATGGAAATAATTTATTCTTTTTCCGTTGAATCGTTGTTTTTTTAAGTTGTCTCTATTGATGTCAGAAGTAATTTTTTTGCAATTTCACAGTGCTTGAATATATCGACTGATGGTTTCTAGTTTGTTGTTGCTAAGTGTAACTATTTTTGAAATTGATTGATTAAATATTCGCTGACTCTCGTGTTGTGTCTGATTACTCGTCCTGTAAAAACTTGTGATGAAGAATCATCTGTGGCAGTTCTGAACCTTTGCGTAAATGTGGAAGAGGTTTGTCAGAACAGTAGGTACAGTATCTATGGAAGATATTGGCTATTTTTGTGCTTAACTTTTGACAAAATATGTGAGATTGAATAGTTTTACCCCTGAGATTTAATCAATTCGTATTTTTGCTTTTCATGTGCGAGAAAAGTCGGGTTTTTCATGACTAAATTGAATTGACTTTGTCCTATTGAGTATCGATTTCAAGCCTCAAAAATTAAAAAAATCGGATGAAATTTTGAATTCTATGCACAATAGCAAGTACTTATCAAAGCTGTTTATGATGATCATTTACCGCTACAAATACTGCTATCAATAACAATTATTAAATGATTATGTATTCATACGCAGTGGAGATAGTTCACTCTCTTCGCCGTACTCGATGTAATAGCAACGAAACTGTCAATACGCGGTCAAGAGCCCATCGATTATTTTTTTATACGTATCAGTTATGCTCGAATGCCACGGCTTTGCAAAGTTTAACGTGTTTAAAATTACGTAAGTTTTGTTTAATACTCTTTTTAAATGCCTAACCAATGAAAATTAATTTAGAGCATTATACGCTGTAGTTCACCACATTGATCTCGTCAGTTCTATGTGGCCTAGTTCTCGGAATGAGCAACGAGTTCTTTGAAGCAGCGATATATATTCCTCACAATAATACATCGAGTTCAGGTCCCGATAACGAAGACTGCGTAATAATTGAACGCTTCGATCGGTTCTCTGCCACGCGCATCGCTCTCCTTCACTTCAGCATTGTGGCTGTGAGCGGCGCAGTGCGTAAAGCTTGCGCTGTGCGTAGAGCCTACAGTGTATATCGTCTTTGCTGTGCGTAGAGCCTACAGTGCATATCGTCTATGCTGTGCGTATAACCTGCGTAGAGCCTACAGTGTATATCGTCTTTGCTGTGCGTTTAGCCTGCGTAGAGCCTACAGTGTATATCGTCTTTGCTGTGCGTATAGCCTGCGAAATGCGTACAACCTTCGCAGTGCGTATATACAGATAGAAAATTAATAATAAATAGTGTAGCCACCGCTGAATTCAAGAAATTATCGGCCTAAGTCAGATGACGGAATTTTTTTGAGCGATAAGATCGGTAGCAAATTTGCTCCTGTTCAGTAAATTGTGACTGAACATATTTTGTAGGTATCATCGTGGAGCGATACGTGAGGTGTTAAGTTCAGATTCAGAGTTATGTAATTTAGGATATATTCGATTTCAGTCACGGAGCTTGGAACACATCCAGTAAAAGTTCTTCTCTTGTCGTATATACTGTAATTGTGTTTCTTACATGCCAGAAAAAGCCGAATTGTCTTCTTGGTTGTAAACAACAAGTCAGAAAATTATAATAGATTACGGTTTGATGTCACTTTGGAAAACTAACGCCCACCCCTCATACGATGTTTAGTTGCATTCTAAAAGGAAATGTGTGAATTTCATAAATGTGTGCAGTGTTAAAATAATTTCAATGAGTTGTTTGTGTGAAAGTCTCTGATGAAGGTTTTGCATAGATAGGGCAATCAATTAAAGCGAAAAAGTTGTATTAGTCACTGTAGCAAGAAGTTTCGATCGATCGCAGAGCTGCGCGTGCACTTTGCTTCACCATTGAAAAGTCATATTCCAGGCTCCAGCTGAGTTGGAAGATTAAAATATATAACACATGCATGTTACTACGATAAACTATCGAGGTCTACTTCATGCGTAAGTTCATTTCTAAAGCACCTATTTAGCACCCAAGTTTTCCCTGCATAATATACGGTATTAGAAATATCATATGATTTTTATTTTGTCGGAAAAATCAATCAAGGCTTGAGTAATAGTCAAGTCGTTGTAGCTATATACCGATCACAGCTCACCCAAAGTCTTTCAATAGCAGCTGCTCTTCAAGAGAACCTACGTTTAACCTTATTTGGGGTCTCAAAGTGATATTGATTTACCCTTTAGCGAATTTTCTTGAAAGAATAAAATACACCATTGCATCCGTAACACATTACTGAAATTAATCAATGACAAATTTTTTACAAAGGTGACGCATTTGTTGGATTGGACGAATGAGATTCAGACATTAACCAAAAATACCATTTTGAAAGGCAACATATATATACAGCTGGGCGATAATTAGATAAAAGCCATCTCGTATCAACTGCAATGAGACCGAGTAATTATTTTTATCTATAGTAATCTATTAATAATTATTTTCTATAGTATAGTAAATAATAGTATAGTAAATAATCTATTGTAATTATTTTATTTAACCAGTCTTTCGCCGAAATATTATTTTCATCACGAGTTACGCCCCCCGCCATGTTCGATGACATTTTGGTCGGGTTTCAGTACACCCTGCAAGAATTATGCATTCCGAGCATAATTTCATGTATATTGGTACACTAATTGAATAAGTATCTGTTTGGATTTCTAGTATTTTCAAGGGAATCTCTTACTTTGATGATATCTAAATTATCTATGTATTTCCCTAATTTATTGCAAGCAACTGCAAGTTTCCTACTAAAGACTCCACTTCTGCGTTGAAGCCAAAAATGGTAAGTATTTATCATTACGAGCATTGTTCTTTCCTGAAATATTTGCATCATATGAGCAAAATTAAACGAGAATCTTGAGGATGGTTATTTATTTCAGTTTTATTTTTCTTTGGGGCGGCATGTTCAACTTCCAAACACTCTATCGCCATGAATTATCGTGCGTCTGGCCTCATGTAAATGATATTAGGTCTATGCTCTATACTGTACTTGGCCAGTAGCGCAAGCAGCATGGTAAATAGTGGAGGATGGCAATTGTAGGTTGTAGTGGCAGTCACTAATGGCCGTTGTACTCGTTTGGTATTTGTAGGTTGTGGTGGCAGCCACTAATGGCTGTACACGTTTGGTATTTGTAGGTTGTGGTGGCAGCCACTAATGGCCGTTGTACTCGTTTGTTATTTGTAGGTTGTGGTGGCAGCCACTAATGGCTGTACACGTTTGGTATTTGTAATTTGTGGTGGCAGCCACTAATGGCCATTGTACATGTTTGTTCAAGTTCAATTGTTCTGAATCGCTGTAGAAGCATAACACTGTTTCGGATTAGTGTCCACAACGCCCACCAAGTTAGAGTTAGCATTGCGTGCACTCATCAAGAATTTCTTATTTGAGAAATAATTGCACTTTTAATATTTACTGATAAACACGGAAGACTGCTATATCAGACGGATTTTTTATCTCGTTTTATATGCAGAATTTCAATAATGATTTGATACAGTTCATGGAAAGCAATTCAATAAATGGACAACCTCTCACAGGATTGTCAGCGAATTTCGCGGTTTATACGAAGGGTTAAACACTCGTGCATTTGTTGCCATTTAAAAACAAAAGGTATGTGTGCCAAGGACTCTCCTGACCAACGTTTGGGTCTCTTATCGACTAGACACTGAATAATTCATGTGACACGCGTCCACAACTCGAGGCAGTTGAGTGAACTGTCCTAATGAGGGCTGGTCGAGTATATTCAGCAGTCCTCTTTGTATTCAGCTTTAATCTTCCTCAGCTTTTTCTTTTCAGCTTTATATTAAGCTTTCTTCGAATATATTCAGCTTTAATCGTACGCAATTCGGTCCAGAATTACAGATTGAGCATCCACATGCTCGCATTGTTCTCCATATGAAGCGGCGGCATTGATAGGCTTGTGCTATTAATCATTATTAGTTCAGAGAACACGATTGTGATCCTATGTTTGATTATTAATGGAGAAAAGATGATTTATTGACAAATCAGGAAAATATGAAAAGATTTTAAAATTTCAGCTCGTATTGCGACATTGCGACCATTGTTTGATTTCAAGTCCAGTAGTTAAGTTCATTTACGAAAAACTTTTCGAAATCATTTCAAGTAGATCGCAGTCGCTGTAACGAACTTAGGGGTGCAAGTTATATTCCGAGTTACCTCGGCAGCTTTTGCTGCCTAAATTTTTCTGTGAATTCAACGATAATATTACAATGAATATTTTAGCGATTAGAGTGTGGTATCATTTTGTATTATTTCATCATTTCTTGAAGGAATTTTGATACGTTTGTTATTATTCTTTCCTATATGTACATTGCCAATGAATCAGACTACTCTCTGGCTTCCTGATCAGAATTATTTTTATTAGTCTATGTTAGTTCGATAAGTGAATTTTTCTCTTCCATTAATAATTTTAACGTTACAAAGCGGCTATCTCTTCTGTAATTGTAGTAGTAGCATTAGTAATAGTAGTAGGGGAGAAATTTCTCGCGCTTCAGATCAGTTTCGTCTATTTCGTACCTAAGTTGCGATGAAGAGATTTCTACAGAATGCTACAGAAGATATTTATATCTGTAACATTCAAGCGAACCTTTCCTTTCTTCGCGTTTATAGAGAGAATGCACGCGCTATCTAACTTCTACTCTCTACTCTATCTCTACTCTTACTCTATCTCTTAAACCTCTACTGCTATCTCTTCTGTAACATTCACGCGAACCTTTGCTTTCTTCGCGTTTATAGAGAGAATGCAAGAGCCTCTACTGCTATCTCTTCTGTAACATTCACGAGAACCTTTACTTTCTTCGCGTTTATGGAGAGAATGCATGAGCCTCTACTGCTATCTCTTCTGTAACATTCACGCGAACCTTTCCTTTCTTCGTGTTTATAGAGAGAATGCATAAGCCTCTACTGCCATCTCTTCTGTAACATTCGCGAACCTTTGCTTTCTTCGCGTTTATAGAGAGAATGCATGAGCCTACACGTGGGCCAGGCTGGCGTGCAGATCGGCAACTCGTGCTGGGAGCTGTACTGCCTCGAGCACGGCATTCAGCCTGATGGACAGATGCCTGCAGACGACAGCGTCGGTGTCGCCGACTCTTCCTATAACGCCTTCTTCAGCGAGACTCAGAACGGGCAGCACGTGCCCAGGGCTGTCATGGTCGACTTAGAGCCAACTGTTATAGGTATGATGGACAAAAACTACTTGTTTAATTCAACTGTCATGTGTTCAATGTCATCTACATTAGAAACATTTTTTGTGGCATCAATTGGATAATAATACCAAAAATAGTGGTGATGGTTGGAATGAGTGGCAAAAACCACATCATTTTAACATTACCTATAATTCTTAGCTTGGCAAAAGCAAAGTCTTAGTCCTAATAACCAATTTATCACGCATTCTCAATGAAATTTCCTCACTCAAAGACGAGATCCGCACGGGGTTGTACAAGGGCCTCTACAACCCCATGACACTCTTGACTGGCAAGGAGGACGCGGCCAACAACTTCGCGCGCGGCTACTACACCATCGGCAAGGAGAAGATCGACGCCACGCTAGATGTCATCAGGAAACTCAGCGATCAGGCTGACTCCCTACAGGTCTGTATCAAATATCTGTTCTTATGGCATTAGTCTGCCTAAAACGCATGTTCGGCGAGAATTAAATAGCAATGAAAAATTAAGAAAATTTAGAAAATACACGTACAATCCATAGAGAAAAGCCAGATTTTCGCGAAGAGGGTTTAAAACATTTGATATTGGAGCTGGTCTCTCAAACGTTTTCGATGAAAACAAGATGAATTTACTAAACGTTTTCATTGCTTTGAAGCATCAATTTGATCAACTCGTTTATATTAACAATTTCTCTACCTTTATTTCCAATTCTATAAATATTTTCATATTTGTCAGGGCTTTTTGGTGTTCCACTCATTCGGGGGCGGCACAGGAAGCGGCTTCACGTCGCTGTTACTGGACAACCTCAAGCTCGAGTATGGCAAGAAGATCAAACTTGAGTTCGCAGTGTACCCGGCACCTCAGGTGAGTCTATTAAGAATATGTTTATCACTTGAATAAAAATTAATATTCATTTTAGCGCATTTTCTCATTTATGAAAAAAGGCGCTATTGTGCTCGTCATGACCGTTCGTCCGTCTGTCTGTCCGTCTCTCTGTCAGTGACTTCACGGACGGACGAGAAAACGCGCTCTCTGTCACTCACTGCAGGTAGTACTGATCTAATTTTTTAGTGTAGTATTAGAGCGTACTAAGTACTCGCGAATATAACTCGTATATTGCGTGCTTCTACTGCAAATATTTCGAGTTCATCCAATCCCTACCCAATCCCTACCCAATCCCTACCCTACCAATCCTAGGACGATCAGGATGCTGTTGCCATTTATTAGGTCGGTTTTTTCTCTTTGCATATATTAAACAATTGTTCGTACATTAGAGTATTAATAGAGCGCACTAAGTATACATTAATATTAACCAATATAACTCGTATATAACGTGCTACTATTGCAAATATTTAGAGTTCGTCCCATCCCCTGCATCTCAGGGGAAACTATCAGGAGCAAATCATGCTATTTAATAGAAATATTTTCTTTCTTTGCATTTTGAATAATTTTTCCTCTCTTATAGCATTACTAGACCTTGATAAGTACACATGAATATTGCTCACTATAACACATACTTTACGAGCTACTACTGCAAATATTTCGAGTTCGTACTATTCCCGGTACCTCAGCAACGACTATCTGGATAGAGGATGTTGCTATTTATTAGATTGAGTTCCTTCCTCAGCATGTTGAATAATTTTTCGTAATTTTGAGTAGCACTGGAGATTACATTTGATATTACAAGGTATTATTGCACATATATTAGGTTCTACCACTGCCAATATTGTGTTTGTTAAGATAAATACATAACTCACATTATGCCACAAATGATTTTGCATCTGTGTTTGCTTCATTAGATTTTTATGATCTCATAATCGTCATCGAAATTATTAACGCAAACAAAATATTTTCCGCGTAAATTTTAATAATTTCTATATAATTTATGCAGAAAATTGCAGTGCTGATTCTCGTTTTGAGTTTTAATAATTTCTTCGGAACGTATGCAAAATATTTATTATTTCAATCCCACTCCGTGTCAGGTTTCGACTTCCATGGTAGAGCCGTACAACTCGGTCCTGACGACTCACTCCTCCATGGAGAACTGTGACGTGGTCTTCTTGGTTGACAACGAAGCTATTTACGATCTTTGCCATCGCAGCCTCAAGATAATTAGGCCTTCCTACACAAACCTAAACAGGCTTATAAGTCAAATAGTGAGCTCCATCACGACTTCCCTCAGGTAATATATCTTCTTATTTCGTCATAAACTGATATATGTATTTGATAATTATTTATATCTAGCAGGTGACTGACAGTGTATTGTAATTGAAACGATCAGGTTTGATGGTGCCATCAACGTGGACATGACAGAGTTCCAAACAAACCTGGTGCCGTATCCCCGCATCCACTTCCCGCTGGTCAACTACGCGCCGGTCCTTAGCCCCGATCAGGCCAAGCACGAACAGGTCTGCTTGCTGTCACACTTTACGAATTAATTTATCAAGTTCATGGATAGCATTAGGAAGACGAGTAAATCCTTTAAAAATGCGAGCAATGGTTCTCATTTAATATGTTTTGTAAGCGAACTGATGCATGCACTGATCGATTTCGACGTTTAAACTCGCAACTCATAGAAAGCTTCCTTGTTGCGGGTCGTCAGGTTAGCCGACAAATTTGATAAACATGGCCGGATGAATAAACTCCTTTGTTACCCTATTCCATTATCCTTCTTGGTTATGTTGTTTTATTATCCTTTTGGATTACCCTGTTTTATTTCCCGGTTTGATTATCCTTTTTATCACCCTGCTGAGTTACCCTATTTTTTTAATGATGCTCACACCACGCAACCTCCCTGACAAGTCTGCTCACCTTTCACTTACAGATAAAGTGGCAACTCAGGGAGCTAATGACATGGTAAAAATTTTTCTCGTGATGTTAGAAATGGGATTTAAAAATCGATTTTATGCACCGGAGCAGTAGCACTATATACCGTATTGGAACAAATGAATGCAACCATCTGTATTGAAAATAATACTTTCTATCACTCGCTTTGCCACCTTAACCAACCAAATTTGTGCAAATAGGCGGATGTTTTAGTTATAAATGTTGGAAGTTTGATGTGAGAATTGAAGCTATATAGACTAAACTAAGGATACTTACGTTAGATCAATGGCTTCTAAGGCATTAAGTAGGTATATAAGTATATTATTAGGCCTGAAAAACACTGGTATAAATTGGACGCACTGGTACAAGTTTTACCAAACTATTGATTTTCAGATGTCCACCAACCAGCTGACAATGTCCTGCTTCGAGCCCTCCAACCAGATGGTGAAATGCAACCCTCAAGACGGCAAGTACATGGCGTGTTGCCTGCTGTACCGCGGCGACATTGTGCCCAAGGATGTCAACTCCTCCATTCAGGCCATCAAGAACGGCAAGAACGTTCAGTTCGTGGCCTGGTGCCCCACAGGCTTCAAGGTAAGACTTATGTTTATGAAATATATTATAAAATGAAATAAACATGGCGTGTTGCCTGCTGTACCGCGGCGACATTGTCCTCCATTCACGCCATCAAGAACGGCAAGAACGTTCAGTTCGTGGCCTGGTGCCCCACAGGCTTCAAGGTAAGACTTATGTTAATGAAATATATTATGAAATGAAATAAATAACGCTCATCTAAACCAATTTTTAATCACTGATATAGACATTTGAATTTTGTGTGGAAAAGTATTGGTGGTTATCGATAAAGCTAGAACTTGGTTAGTATCAAGAATAGTTTGTTGTTATCAATTGATTTTGCTTAGATTTTCACTAAGAAATCGACTATCACTACAAATTGAATGTATGGAATAAATTTCTGAATTTTCAGCGTATCTTATCACTCTCAAGCCGCTACACTGCTTATTTAAAACCAAATTTTAACATTAATAAATAAAGTAATTGCCTCTCTTACATATATCAGATCATAGTGTTGTTGGCGCTGAAGAATAGACCTGGTGTTCCCGTCTTTGGTTCTTCTTTTTTATAAGCGATCCTTATTTTTTCTTCAATAACATTTTATAGGCCTTCATATTGCCATATTAACATTATTATTTATTTATTTATATTTATTTATAATTATTTATTAATATTTATTGCCTAAATTTCTTTACCCTCCCAGGTTGGAATCAACTACCAGCCCCCCACGACCGTGCCGGGCGGTGACCTGGCCAAGATGAACAGGTCGCTCTGCATGCTCTCGAACACAACTGCGATCGCCTCGGCGTGGCGCCGCCTGGACCACAAGTTCGACCTGCTCTACTCGAAGCGCGCGTTCGTGCACTGGTTCGTGGGTGAGGGTATGGAGGAAGGAGAGTTCGCTGAAGCCAGGGAGGACCTTGCGGCCTTGGAGAAAGATTACGAGGAGGTGGAAGACGATGCTGATTATTCCGATCTCGATGACGATGAAGGTTATTGAAGAATCAATGGTCAGGATTTGCAAATTAGTATTCGAGTCAGTGGATGATGAAGATAAATCGAGGAGTTGAGAGAAGCGGTTTGCATTGCTTTTATGATCGTTTTTAGGGTAACATATCACAGTAGAATTAGTGTCAAATAATTATTTATGTCTAAATTTTCTAAGGTAATTATGTGATCGTAGGTCAATGCTCGTTATGTAGCAAAAATATTCCCTACACAGTGGACCCACAGGACGACCGGTTGATATAATCTTGCGGTTGAATAAAACAGATATCACTAAATAAACGTAATATATATTTTAATAAGTGTATTTCTGCCTACCGCTGTGTGATGGGCAATTCATGACTGATTAATTGGATTCCATTCAATTTGAAAAAGAAAAATTGTAGTTTCAAAGTTACGTTTTCCCAGTTTTCGGCCGTTGCCCATTGGTAATTTTGTCATTCATAATTTCCAAGTCTTGATATAGTAATATAAATGAAGGCACAATATTCCTTACGTTGTCTCTACACGAATCGCATATTAATCTGTTGATTTGAGTGAATTGACTAAAATAAATAAAAACTAATCGATATGAATATACGGGACGAGGCTTCCTAATTAAAGAATCATCTACACTTCATTTGAAAATTGCCACGGTGCCGATGAAGATGGAACATAGAACTTGGTTATCAAGTAAATAGCTTAATTGTGAAAATGAATTTATATTGAATATAGGCGATATAATAGCTGCAATCAAATTTTGTTTGCAATTTATATTTTATGAAATTAAGAGCTCAATCTGATAGAATACAAATTATATTAATCTCGTAAATAAATATAAAACTTTTCTATATTCCCTACCTTAACGGGAGGTTTTTTTGTCCACTACCGACATTTTTAAAATCAGTGAAGTTATTAAAACATCAGGCTTAATTCGTTTTCACTGTTAGTATTTAGAGTTGTAACTTAAGTTGTAGCGTTTTTGGCGATATAAGTTTCAATAACATAGTGATTCATCTAACTACTGAATGAAAAGAGTGTGAGAAGCTCGTAACATTTATCTTGTTTCATAGGGATTTTCATTTTATATATCATTGAATCTACTATGTAACTCAATAATACACATGGCATCCTTTATAATCGTTATCGGCATCCCTGATTACCAGATCCGTTCCCAGTCAAAATGTACATAATTGTCATATAATTTACGCACAAATAAAACAGTTCAGTTTCCGCTGCATTATAAATGGTTATTTTTACTGCATCCAATGTTGTAATTTATGTCATTATGTCTACATGTGTCGTAGTTGAATGCGCTGGTGAATATGTGTTAAAGTTATACTATCACTTCGTGGCTGTGACGATAAGATCGTACAATTACACACATGCACAAATTTGTGAAGTTTGTTTCAATTGCCTCACCTAATTAACTGTGCATTGTGAAAAGACATGTGACGCTACAGCAACACATTTTGTGCGTAAGAAGATAGAGAGAATTTGTTGAATAACATCTAGTTATTGCTGGGATCAACATCATAATCGAGTTTAATTGAGACATGAGGATAATTATTGACATGGAAAAGCAGCATGCAAATTTGACTACCAGTTCATACCCATGATGTTGCAAGCGAGTGAATTAACGGTGCATTTTTTACATAATTTTTTCTATCAATAAAACCATCTGGCTATATATACAGTGGGGGGAAATAAATAATCGTACACTTGAAAAATCGTATTTTAATGTATGTAAGTACACAAACTTAACAGGAAAAGTGATTTAAATTATGTATAGAGACGCATAGTATTCAAAATACTATCAAAAGAAATTAAATCTCAATGCAACAAAAAACAATGCAACATGTTTACTATGCGTCTCTATACATAATTTAAATCACTTTTCCTGTTAAGTTTGTGTACTTACATACATTAAAATACGATTTTCAAGTGTACGAATATTTATTTCCCTCCACTGTACGTTATATGCAGAAGGAGAAGCGTCCTTAGAATTTGTCGCCATGGGTAGAACTTCATTGCAAATACTTAGCAACACATTTTTATGGCAAAAAACTCCACTGCTATTACGTGCATGTTATTAGGTGCCTCAAGAATAGCACTCAAAATTTATTTTTTGGTCATGAATATATGCGAACTCACTGTCCCTTTGCTCAGTCAGTATTCAAATGAATAAATAGACACTGGATAAATATAGACGTGAACGCAATTCATAGTTTTAAAGAAAGAAAATCAGAGCTCCATAGGATCAGGCTCGATGGTCATTTCCTTCGAGAGCTCTTCAAGTTTCTGAGCAATAGGCAGTGTCCAGAACACGACCAAAAATATCAAGTACGTCAGCAGAGTCAAACGAAAGGCCCATTTATCGATTTTCTTCGGCGTTGCATATGGGTCGCGGATAATTATGCGTCCAAATTTGTGCAGATCAAAGGCATTATATTTAGGCTCCGGAATTGCATTTCTCGGCGTGGCCATCACGCTTCGGTGTCGCGATTTCACTCCTCGATCAGAAGTCCTGCCATAGTCTGGTTTGTTTTCGGGAGTCTCAGCGAAAGTTTGCTCTGAATTTCTGATGGCAATCTCAGTAGGATTATTGTATTCATGGAAATACTCGATGATAACGTGCGTTGTGATGATGCAGAAGCTGTATATGATGGACATCAAGAACCAGACATCAATGAGCTTCATGTAAGAAGTTTTTGGAAGTTCGCCGCTCACTTGCGTGAAGAATGTTGACTGCACCAGTAGAGTCGTCAAAGAAATCATGATTCTGTTCTGGAAGTCAAACCACTTGTAGTAGAACGTGGCGAAGCTGATCATGCTGATAAGTGTGGTGGGCACGAAAATCGTCATGATCTGCAAGAAATATTTCAATATTACACATGAGGTGCGAGCCCAAAAGCGTACGTGAGCGGCCCAGTGGTTAAAGTTCAGAGTACCAAGATACGCACTAGAGAGGCGCGGGTTCGATCCCAGCTCTGTGCGTCAGTTTCTGGTCAGAATCGGCAAGGAGGCCGGGCGGTTAATTTTAAGCACAGCAGAATTGTAGCAGTGCGTTGCGAGTTCGAGACCTCAAAATGCTGTGAATATTCTGCGATGTTAAGAATCGGCGACAGGCCTACGGCCTAATAAACGCTGAAACCGCTATTATATTATTATACGTGGGGAGTGTGCATTATAAGAATATCTTAGGCAAAAACTACATATCTTCAAGTCTTATTCCGAAAAATCTTGTAAAAAATACTAACCTAAAAAAATACCCACATGATCAAATAATTTTTGGCTTCATTACTGTACGTGGCTTTAAAGGAAAATTCATGCTAGAAAACTGCAATGTTGTGCTTTTTAGGATTATTTGCATAAAGCCATTGACTCGCTTCAGACATAATGACAGTTTTCATGCATTGATTTTCAGGAATATTGTCATCATAAGAAGCATAATAAATATAATTATCAGATTTAATTCCTCTAACATCATTTCAATATTTATCACAATACGCAGGGGTATTAGTACAGCTATTAATACTCAGATTTATTACTCTACTTTTCCTCTGGTCTGTGAGTTATCTTCATTATGTATACCTTCACTATACCTAAATTCCTATACCTAAACTATACCTCCTTGCCCATACCCACACGATTCCTCCTGGTCTATACCTACACTATCCCTCCTTGCCTATGCCCACACCATCCCTCCTTGCCTATGCCCACACTATCCCTCCTTGCCTATGCCCACACTATCCCTCCTTGCCCATGCCCACACTATCCCTCCTTGCCTATGCCACCACTATCCCTCCTTGCCTATGCCACCACTATCCCTCCTTGCCTATGCCACCACTATCCCTCCTTGCCTATGCCACCACTATCCCTCCTTGCCTACGCCACCACTATCCCTCCTTGCCTATACCCACACTATCCCTCCTTGCCTATACTCACGCGATTCCTCCTTGCCTATGCCCGCGCGATTCCTCCTCGCCTATGCCCATACGATTCCTCCTTGCCTATGCCCATACGATTCCTCCTTGCCTATACCCACACGATTCTTCCATGCCTATTCTAACACTATACCTCTATTTTTACTCTCGTCTGTGAGTTTTACATAAACTTTCACGTACTATACCTTACTTATACTTTCACGTACAGTGACGTACTATACCTCATCACATATACCTACACCATACCTCATAGGTGTAGAGATGCTCCAGCTTTACTTCGGCCGTGATGCGGCTGAGCATCTCAGGAGACACGCTCGTTGTGAACGAAATGCCAGCAACTTTGTACTTAGGCAGCTGATCCGTGAACTGCAGTGTACATATGCACTATATAAGTACTTGTCATTTGTTTAAATTTGTACATAAAAACACTTATATCGTTGATGAAGTCGCGAGTTCCCCAAAAATTTTCAATCAAAGAAAACGCCACGTAAATCATGATATAGTCATCGAAGACGCTTCGTTCGTTGGTTGTAATTGTGATCTCAAAATTTTTGAACTGATGTTGGAGCATGCTAATCACGAAGACACTTCTGATCATTTTCAAGCATATTATAGCATGAAATGAGATATGAAGCAATGGAAGATGACATAGCGCAAGGAAGTTATCAGGATATCAAAAGTAAGGTTCAAAATCGTAGCAATTATGCAGGTACTGATGAAGAATTTAATGTTTTAATTCATCTTTAGATGAGAGGCTTCGGCTGGTAGCGATGAAACTTGTGTATATTTGGCGTAAAATTCGAATCACGTGTAGGCACATTAAATGCAATTTAAGTTTGAAAAAAAAATTCGGAAATAAGCCACGGTATCAGTAATCTTTCATTCAGATTTTAGGATTAAACATGAATTACGTATTCTGGAATGATGATGACCAAAAACTATTTTATATTCAGCAATTATTAAATAATCTTTCCGGTTACAAAAGACGTTTTTTTTTTGTTGGTATTTCGTTTTTATCTAGAATTTTATCCGAATTTGCAGCAAAATCCAATGGAGGAGAGCCATATAATTATTATATCAACATCATTTTCTACAATAAAACCATGAGTTTTATGTTGTTAGCTAATGCGTTAAATTATTTTATTTGTTCTCAAGTAAGATGAAGTTAATGACTGCAGCGTGACACACTGCGTACAAAACAGTCCCATTTACATATACATACACACTGACAGCCCCATTTACAATGGGGCTGTCATTTGTCCGATTTCATCTGTAAAACTAAGTGATACAAAAATTCAGATAATGTCTTTTTCAAATAAATTTGTATTGTAATCATATCTTTACTACTTCTTTTTATATTGCGTTTTTAAATTAGTGAGTTTCCATGAATCACCTGTAGTGAGTATCTGAGTTCAAATTGTGGAAGTATCTTTCCCACATTTTCAATAAATAACTATCTTTACCATTCGTAGTAATTATAATTGTTCTACTACTATAAAAAATTTATTGAAGCGGGACTCAATCATAGCATGGCATTCCGTAAGTGGAATCAAACACCTGTGATTGTGGGAACATCTTCATATACCATTTGCATGGTCTCTAGCAGAAACCTTGAGATTTTTTATAACCCAAACAATCTACAACGGCACTCGAATATTCCTTTATATTTTTAATGATAACTTGAAGAAAATTTTTCTTTTTCAGAATCTAAACACAATATTCTCAGTAAGGTTCCAAAGAAGTTTATCTCTTAACTATTGCTCACCTCATAGAAAATTCCTTGTCCGTTTTTCTTTAAAGCCACGTAATCTTTCGTATTCTTGTTGATCTGGAAAGTCATGTTGCAGTAGTCGGTGTTGAAGGGGAAGTAGAAGAAATTGAAGTTGCACCGGAACCAAATGTTATACAGCCGCGTCATGCGGATGTGCGTCGCGTTGCCATCGAAAACGTTCGCTAAAATATTATTTAGAAATTATTTAATGAATGAATGAGTCAATACCGGTAAAAATTTTTGAATGAATGAATCAAATTCGATGAAAATGATTAAATGAACGAATCGATCTCTAAGAAAATGATTGAATGAATGAATAGATCGCGATGAAATTGATTGAATGAATGAATTTAACTCGAATATTCCGTTGGCGGATGTCACGAGTGAAAGAATTTAAGTGTTGTAATTCCATATAAAATATTCATGTTTTGACGAATTGAGTAAACAATATATTGCAATTTTAAAAGCTTATTACTTTATTCTTTCTAACTGAATAATAAAGTTTAGAAGTACCTTCACGTTGAAATTTGATGTCGTCGCCCCTAGGATTGCCGATCATTGACACGGTAATCATTGTTTTAGAATCCACCAGGGAATTCATATTGCCTTCTGAATTCAGAAAACTGATTTCCGGAACCCATATGCTGCCGTTTACCTAAAGTAAAATTCGAAAATAGAATTTTTGGAAGTGATCAGTGAAATATTGGTAACTTATTAGGCAGCATGAACAACTATGTGTTGCATATGATTTGTGAATATGTGAACTGATTTCCGGAACCCATATGCTGCCGTTTACCTAAAGCAAAATTCGAAAATATAATTTTAGGAAGTGATCAGTGAAATATTGGTAACTTATTAGGCAGCATGAACAACTATGTGTTTGCGATAAGCATCTAGTAATTAACGATAATGATCAATTTGATTTTTTGTTCTAGGGCTGGTAAACAAATTGTAAGTGCAAAATCTATCACTTTCAGCAAGCCATGGTTATAAAAACTACCCGGCGCATAACTTCTTTCTTAACGCTGTTTCGTTCAAGATTGGAAAATTAGCAATACCGATATATTTAACTATCGCATTTTATTAATAAATCTTAAATTGTTTTCCTGCTTATTGACTACAGTTAGCCTACTCGAATTATATGGAAGGGTTATTCCTAGTTATTAATATACACGTAACCTACATAAACAAAAGTAAGAATATTGCAATGCATTCCACCTCCTCGGCCTGAATAATATTGAGCTGATGGTCGTTCTTCAAGTGTCTGAACTTAAGCCTTGGATCCTTCCAGATCACCAGCAGCTTGAACTCCACGTTGAAGCGGTTGCTCACAGATTGAACGTCATAGAACGCCCTGTGTAAACGATAATGAGTAACAAGGATTAAAATTAAGGATACTTCAATACTGTTATACATTTCGCATGTAAACATGGGACTTTTATACAAAACTTATTCAATGAGTTTTAAAGAATACAGCGTCGATCTGCAGCTTACACTCACTCGAGCACGTAATAATGATGTTATTGTTCACAGAGACGCAAAGAAACTATCAGTACATGCTAACGAGACAGAGACGATGATGTAGACACTCGCGAGACAGAGACGTTGATGCAGACACTCACGAGACAGAGACGTTGATGTAGACAGTTATTTCCGTTGATGTAGACACTCACGAGACAGAGACGTTGATGTAGACACTCACGAGACAGAGACGTTGATGCAGACACTCACGAGACAGAGACGTTGATGTAGACAGAGACAGGTGTGTTGTTGTACGCGACCCTCAGAAGTGAGGGCGGCGGCAGCGTCCTCTGGTAGCCCTCGGGCACGACGGTGAGGGAACAGTCGGTCTCGTCTGTGTGGTCCGGACATTGATCTCTACGATCACACACCTGTGTAATTAACACGTTGATATACGTAATTAATTCAGAATAAATGCAAAATAATCCAGAAAATCTTATGACATATTCACCATAAATCATTCTTATTATGCAAATTTTTTTTACTAAATTATTCATTGCGTATTTACTATAGATAAAAAATATCATTCATAAATAATGTTAGGATAATTTAATAATATTTTTATTGATAAGAAGTAACAAATTATTAAACAGAAATAACGTTAGGTTTATTTCATTATATTTTTATTGATAATAAGTAACAAATTATTAAACAGAAATAATGTTAAGATTATTTAATAGTATTTTCATTGACAATAAGTAACAAATTATTAAACAGAAATAACGTTAGGTTTATTTCATAATATTTTTATTGATAAGAAGTAACAAATTATTAAACAAAAATAACGTTAGGTTTATTTGCCGCGTCAATTTTATTTAATTTATAATTTATTAAATTAAGCAGTTTAATAGTTCATTTAATTTTTTATGTCGCGTATGTGCCTTCGTTCAGCCGCGTCAATTTTATTTAATTTATAATTTATTAAATTAAGCAGGTTAAAAGTTCATTTAGTTTTTAATGTCGCGTATGTGCCTTCGTTCTGCCGCGTCAATTTTATTTAATTTATTATTTAATAAATTAAGCAGTTTATTAGTTCATTTAATTTCTAACTTCGCGTATGTGCTTTCGTTCTGCAGCGTGAATTTTATTTAATTTATAATTTCGACATTTAATAAATAAAGCAGTTTAATAGTTCATTTAATTTTTAATTTCGTGTACATGCTTTCGTTCTGCCGCGTCAATTTTATTTAATTGATAATTTCGACATTTAATAAATTCAGCAGTTTAATAGTTCATTTAATTTTTAATTTCGCGTACGTGCTTTTGTTTTGCCGCGTACATCTAATTTTACTTGTTATTTATAATAAATTTATTTTTACTACGTAATTAATTAATTTAATTTATTTACATTCTTCAATTTAATTTGTTTAGTGTTAGCGTTAGCTCAGCTGTTACTATATCAGTATTTTGTCGTAATCCTTTTGAAAGCAGTGGTTTTGATTTATTCTGAATGGAAGTTTTCTAGGTCTCAGTTGCGTGGAAAACCTAAAATTCAACGGTAGAACTGGCTAATGGTGGTCAAAACTGATTCGGTATTTTCATTGTCTGGGTACTTTTGAGGGAGACTCGAAATTTGCAAAACTCTAATTTATTCTCTTGATTTATTCCTTATACTACAAAGCTCACAGTCTCACTTCCATTCTCTTTTTTCGTTATTTTGGAGATCTCTTTTTTGATAGTATTTATCAGGTCGACCTTTCTGAGTTAATATATATGAGCGGCAACATTCATACAATTAAAGTGGCTATAAAATAAAATAATAAATAAATAAGGTTTATCCGGCTTTATAAAAATGCCTTTTTAATAGTACTCAACCTTTAACTTCCAAACAAATTGTTGAAGGAAATGCGAAACGACTGAATGACAAACCACGCTTATAAAGGTAAGATGTACTCTGTACAAAAATTATATGCACAGTCATTACCTATAAACACCATGAACTTATTTCTCCAATTCGTACCTCTGTGTTCTGGAGCCTCCATGCGCCAAGGCCGGGATCGAAGTATAT